GCCAGTACAGAGTTGCATACAAGCTGCGTAATTACAGTACCTTCGGATATAATAACAATTTTACTAGTTTGACGCGCGAGGCACGAAAAAAAAAAGAAGGTCGCTAAGGTAACGCGCCAGTTCAGCGCGTGACTTGGGGGTCAAAATTCGGTCAACACACACTTGATGTCAGCATCGCCGCGCAACAAGTTTCGCAAAAAAGTACTTGAAGTTCAATTGCGTCCCAAAATTATGACGCTGATCACTCAGTTGTCGCAGCGTGTGTTGTGTCATGTCCATGATGCACCCCGTTTCGACTTTGGCTTGCTTTTCCTTCTTAGTGATGCGACCTCTCACCAATGTATTAAAACACTTTGAATTTATACTTTGCATGATTATATTTGGTCAACGCGAAACATTTTTTCTAAACATTTTCTGAGACCATTTTTATCAACGCAGGGTTATTTTTCCCCGACAAGATGGGCTTCGTAATATCTGCCATAACATCGTCCGGGCGATGCCCAGAAAAATAAAAAAAAAAGACAGTGCAGCTAGACGGCTCTGTGTACAGAGTGACCTTTGCCATTTCACTGTTTCATTTCAAGTGTAACATGGTGCGTGGTCCTTGACGCAGTGCGTGTTCTCTGCCCGACTATACGCCATGAATGTCGCTAGCCAAGAGTCTCAGAGGCACTAAAAAACGTCCTGTAATAGTGTTCATTAGAAAACAAAACAAATCACTAATAAATTTATAAATTCAGCTCCTTTTTGAATTGATCAAAAAGTACTCTTAATTCGCGCACCAAAAACCAATAATTTCAGTTTTGACGCTATTAATTCGTGCACTTGAATAAATTATTATTTTTACTACCGCGAATTAATCGAGTTTTTACGGTACCTATATATATAATATCAAAGCAATTGGAATTGCAGTTTTTAATAAGAAGTTGAAACAAGCAGCCTCTCAGCTGAGATAGCTCTGCTGTTAGCAATGCACATTTCAATTAAAGAACAGAAGATATCATTAGAAAATGAACAATATGCATAGTATCAATGCAATGGGACTTGCTGTTTTCAACAAGAATTCAAAAATATAATTTTTCACCATAAATGATTGTGGTTTTTAACAAGAAGAAAATATCACTTTTCACCAAAAATGACAAAAATATTCACCAAAATTGGAGAATTAAAGATATCATTACAAAATGAACAAATCTGAGAGAGGTCCACATGTAGTACCTATATATGTAATATCAAAGCAATTGGACTTGTGGTTTTTAATAAGAAGTCGAAAATATCACTTTTTACCAAAAATGACAAAAATATTCACCAAAATTAGAGAATTGAAGATATCATTACAAAATGAACAAATCTGAGAGAGATCCACATGTAGTACCTATATATGTAATATCAAAGCAATTGGACTTGCGATTTTTAACAAGAAGTCAAAAATATCACTTTTTAACAAAAATGACAAAAATATTCACCAAAATTAGAGAATTGAAGATTATCATCATGAAATGAACAAACCTAAGAGAGGTCTACCCAAGGTACATATACACCAAGTATCAAAGCATTCAGGCTTGTAGTTTTTAAGAAGAAGTCGAAAAAGTAAAACATTGACACTGACGACGCCGGACAATCACTCATATGATAAGCTCCGCTCGACAAAGTCGACAGCGGAGCTAAAAAACTAAAGGTAGATGGCAGTTTCAAATACTGTGGAATACTTTTATTTTCGCTGGAATTAATGTTCGCTGATTTTTGATGAGTTTAATGTGAAATATGGGAAAAAAAAGTATATTCGCTGGATTTTTATTTTCCCTGAATCATCCCTTCAGCGAAAATGAATTCCAAGCGAAAATAAAGTATTATACAGTAATTTTCTTTCTATTGACTGCACAATTGTGAATGTGATGTATTAAAGTAGTCAACTGTCTAATATGCAGCTTAGAAATACACAACATGTTGTGAACACTGCTTGCAAGTTTTCAGATAATAATATAATGAATTTATTGCATCCTTAGAAATAATTTCCATTGGTTGAACAGCAATAAAATGTTAGTAATGTGATGTGACTGCATAAAATATCAATTTCTATGAATTTCAAGCAATTCTGAGTTGAGCAACACTTAAAATAAAGCCAAATTGATGAAAATTCAGTATGGAATACAAATAATGAATACTGTATTTACTATATTAGAAACACATCTCCAAAGCAAAAATTCAAATTAGGTCATTAAATATGCATGTATCTCAACAAAAAAAATCAAGTCAGCAGATTATGCTATTATCCCAGATAATTGGTTCTTGAGACATCAGTGGAACAGACACATGTATACTCTGATGTTTGAAGAATAAACAAATCATGACCTGCCGTTTAAAGCGAGAGGGTAGTCACCTGCGCACAGGCTATGGCCATCTGACGCATGCACAGGTGACAACTCCTCAGCTTTAATCATTAGGATACAAATCGAGAACGAGCCACTTTAAATAACAACTTGAAACAAATGCATGTTACAGGGTTCCCCACAGAAAAAATGCATAGTGCTGCAACTAATTTGCATATCATTTACATACCTTTCCTTCATTAATTAATTAACAGAACTTATTTACAATTATGAATATTGATGAGCTCAGTCACAGTGCAAATATATTTTTTAATGGAATCAACACATGTTTCACAATTTAGAAGAGTATGAAACACTCGAAATACAAATGCTGCAGACTAAATAAAAACACAAATAAATTAATTAAATTGCAACAATGTCTATTGTAAAACGTTGAATGAAACGCATTCGACAAGTTAAGCCAGAAATACGTTCATGAATTTCATGATTTTATTTACTCCATTACATTCTTCTTCAAAAAGTAATCGACCATGTAGTTAATTGGCGTATTGTTGTAATTTATTAGTAGTACTATCAACTTCTAAAACGTTTACATTCACATTAATGAGCGAACAAATAAAACTTCAAACCGATCATCAAAGTTACTATGTGAAATAACTTACTTGGCGATGTTATACCAATAATTCCTCAAAAAATGTTACTTCTTTGAAATGAAAGTAAAATCCAACTTATTTTTATCGGGAGCAATTATTTTTGATCACTCGATTGCTTTGGTAAACAAGCAGCCTCTCGGCTGAGATAGCTCCGCTGTTAGCAATGCACATTTCAATTAAAGAACAGAAGATATTAGAAAATGAACAATATGCATAGTATCAATGCAATGGGACTTGCTGTTTTCAACATGAATTCAAAAATATCATTTTTCACCATAAATGATTGTGGTTTTTAACAAGAAGAAAATATCACTTTTTACCAAAAATGTAAAAAATATTCATCAAAATTAGAGAATTGAAGATATCATTATGAAATGAACAAATCTGAGAGAGATCCACATGTAGTACCTATATATGTAATATCAAAGCAATTGGAGAATTGAAGATATGATCATGAAATGAACAAATCTGAGAGAGGTCTACCCAAGGTATACACCAAGTATCAAAGCATTCAGGCTTGTAGTTTTCAAGAAGAAGTCGAAAAAGTAAAACATTGACACGGACGACGACGGACAATCACTCATATGATAAGCTCTGCTCGACAAAGTCAACAGCGGAACTAAAAAAAAAAAAACAGACCCGCCATGATGTTTGTGAAAATTAGTATGTGTCCTTTGACCCGATGGGTCAAGAATGGCATTAACCAATCAAAATGCTGCATGGTAATGTAGAATCTGAAGTTTTCCCGAATGGCAGTGATCATAACAAGCAGCCTCTCGGCTGAGATAGCCACGCTGTTAGCAATGCACATTTCAATTAAAGAACTGAAGACATCATTAAAACATAGTTGAACTCTGGTGACCTTGCCCTTTGTTATATAATATAATTCCTTTAACATAGTTTGTTTCAATATAAATATGCATTGTCATAATTAATTTTGAATACAAACAAGTTTTGGGGTTGAACCAACAGTGGGGAATCAGTCTACCGAATGTCCTTTAAAGATGTAAATATCTTACAAAAACATTGGTGCCTTATTTGTTTAATTATATTAAGGGACATAATTTCCAGATTTATTCAAAGTAATTCAGATATTTTAGTATTAAAACAAATGCCTCATCGCAAAAAAAAAAGTGCTGCATTTAGACGTGAATAGATTCATAAAACATGCAAGATAACAGAAAATCTTAGCTGGCTTTTGTCCAAGTATTTTGTACAGGTGTCTGTCAAAAATTAATGATTCACTGAGACAAATATGAACTGCCTCATTGTGTGACTACTGTATTATATGAAAAGTAAAAAAAAAAACACTCTTTATGAATAGTTATCATGTTGCAAGCTCTGCTTTGTATGCAAATCTTCAAACACTGCAATCTTTGAAGTGGTTTTTAAACCAGTATTATAAAAACTCTATCATTCTGTTCTAATAGCTGAAACATATTCCTGTGAGTTTTCATTTGTCGAATGAACTGTTTGTCAAATACAGAATACATATATTTTAGAACAATTTTCTTTTTAA